TCCGGCCCGCGGCCCCGCTGCCCCGCGGCCCCGCTTTGCCCCGCGGGACGTCGCGTGGCCGTTCCCCAAATGGTGCCCCCCCCCCTCTCTCCTCCCCCGGTGGGTGATCTTGGGATAACGGGGGTCCTTGATCACCGCATTGAGAGCGGACCACCATCCATCTGAACACGGCTTTTCATTGGCTGGCCCTTGGGCTGGCCGGGACAGTGCAGGCCCCGCCGTGCCGTGCCCCTCCGTGCCCTGGCCCGGATATAAGACCCTGTTGTATTTCGCCGTGGCGCGCAGTGGGCCAGTGACCGGTGGAGGCGGCCAAAGCTCCAGACGCGTTTTGAGCTCCAGAGTTGCTAAACAGGGCTCAGACCGAACGTGTGACCCCACCAATGGATTGCTCTCCGAACGAGGAATCCATTGGTGGGGTCACACGTTCGGTTCGAGTCCCGTTCAGCGACTCTGGAGCTCAAAACGCGTCTGGAGTTTTGGCCGCCTCCACCGGTCTTCTGGCCCACTGTGTGGCGTGCCGTGCCTTGGATATCTCGTTTCAAGAATCGCGCTGCTGGCCGTGCCGAGGTCGGCCCGCAAGAGGCGATCCCGCGCTTCGATTGTGTGGCTGATTGGATCGGGGAAGAAAGAAAAAGCACGTAAATGGCCTAATTCTTTTCTGCGTTTCCTTTGTGGGTTCGAGAGGTCTGGGGAGTAATTGTGGGCCGAAAGCAACTCGAAAGCAACGCCGAGGCAACGCCAAAAGCAGCAAACTCACGTCGCGGAATCTGGACCAGCCCCTCGAGCAGTGGTCATCGAGGTTTATTTTCATGCCGGTGGCGGCTACGTGTGTATGTGTGTGCGTGTGTGTGTGTGCGTGTGGGCGTGTTTTTGTCTGGCCGTAAGGCGGATAAAAGAAAATTGCCACTTGTTCTGAGAAGCGCTTTATTTCGATCCACGGAAGTTTTCCTTTTCTTCACAAATTCGTTGGAAAACGCTGTCCCAGACACCCTCCAAACAAACAGTTAGAAAATAGGCTTCGAATCTTAAAATGGACACGTAATTATGTTTAATTTTTTAGTTATTCTATTATTTCTTAGTTTTTCTTTTAAGAAGTAAGTCAAAATAAGGTAAAACGAAAGACTATTTTCGAAATATTCACACGACGGTCTAGTTTTGAACCATAAAATAGAATTCTAATGGACAGAAACACAGTTTACTAGACTGCTGCGATATAAAAAACCCCTGATGCCTGTGGAGTGGGTGCATTATTTAAGTAAACCAACGGCAAATTTGAACAGACGACACGACACACATATCATAATATCATAATTTTAAGACGAAATTTTCCACTCTTTTAACAGGACAGGTGATTCTCGCACTTCATCAGTGTGAAGCAATGGAACTTCATCGTAAACGAAGTCCACTGCTTCAATCGCTTCGCCCGACAATATCGCACAACAAAGAAATTACCTACTCTGAAAAGAAACATCAACAAACTTCAAAATTTCATGTACATCAATAACCAATCTTATGTACAACACAGTTGAATCACCAGCTCAACTAAGCAGCACAGAAGTAAAAATTTTCAAAAGTTTTCGTAAAATAATTGAAAAAAAAAAACACCTGACAGTTTTGAAACAAAACATGTGGACCAACTTGAGTCCCACGAAGTCCCCAAATTTTTGGAGACGTGCCTCTTGATTCATTTAACAATCTTCGAAGAGTTTCTCATTATCTATGAGGAAAACTCCCTTCTCCCTCAAGACAGCGTGGGATGTCAAGTTGTAGAACCATAATTAAAACCCACAAGAAAAAAATCACTGTGATACCTTACAGATATTTTTTCGAATTTCTTTGGATCATGGAGAAAATCTTTACCATAATATGCTGGTGCAGCCTTTCGCCATAAGAACATTTAGAGTGTTCACAGAGCTTGCTGACGAAAGTCTCGCCCCACCTGGCTCGCAGCCCTCACACAGTGGGCCAGAAGACCGGTAGAGGCGGCCGAAGCTGACGCGTTTTTAGCTCCTCAGTCGCTAAACAGGGCTCGAACCGGACGTGTGACCCCACCAATGGACTCCTCGTTCGGAGAGCAATCCATTGGTGGGGTCACACGTTCGGTTCGAGTCCCATTTAGCGACTCTGGAGCTCGAAACGCGTCTAGAGTTTCGGCCGCCTCCACCGGTCTTCTGGCCCACTGTGCCCCGCAGCCCTTCCGGCCCTCACCCTGCGACCCGCCTCGCCTTGGCGCGCCTTGGTGAGCGTCGCACCGATCCTCCGGATTCCCTCTGTCAATATCAGGGTATTCATGGCCCCGATGGCTGCGATACTACACCCTACAGCGCGTAGCCGCGTATCGCTACACACTGGCCCGATTGCTTTCTAGAGTCAATAATTTTGAGCCAATGGGATGAGGCGGGGATTTGGCGCCACTTTCGGATTCACATTCGTCGCCCCACTCTCCGCTCCCTCTCCCTCCACGCCGCCCGGCCGCGCGATTCATCGTCGCGGTCGGAGCCACATTCACATTCGCTTATCAAAGTCACATTCACGTTCGCTTTCGAGAGGCACATTGACGTCGGCGGCCCGCGCGCTACCGGCAGGTGGCTCGGAAGTGGCGCACGGACAGCACGACGGACACGGACGCGGTGGCGAGGCCCCATCTGGACCATCTGGACAGGCTGCTCAGCGAGCCTGCAACAAAAACACACACATTCGCATTGAGATTCGATGCCGCAGTTAATCCCCATTCGTAAACGGAGCGGCGCCGCAGTTGCTGGCAATGAGCATCGAGCGTCTGTCTGTCTGTCTGTCTGACTGACTGTGTGTCTCTCCGTCCGTCTGTCTGTCTCTCCGTCTGCCTGTCCGTCTGTCTGTCTCAGGGGCGTGTGCAGAACGTTTTACTGGGGGGGGGGGCTATTGCCTAACTTGCAGGGGCGTGTACCTCAAATTGCCTACCCTCCAGGCGCGCAACACCATTTGCCTGTCTTTAGGGGCTCAAACAGTGATTATTTATTGACGTTTTAGCCTAAACTCAAGGGGGGCTCAGATCGAACTGGGGGGGGCTGAGCCCCCCTTGAGCCCCCCCGTAGACACGCCCCTGGTCTGTCTGACTGTCTGTCCGTCCCAGCGAATAAATGGAGCGAAACTGCAGTCGCCATTTCTCCCGCCAAAACCGCGGCAGCTGCAACGCTGGACCGCGGAGAAACGACGGCGCGACGCGAGTTGGGGGCTTTTAAGGCGTCCCCTCGGACAAGACGCTGTGTGTGTGTGTGTGTGTGTGTGTGAGTGTGCGAGCCGCCCTCTATATACTGTGTACACAATGACAAGCAGTGGAGGCGCGTCCCGCGGAGTAGAAATCAAAACGATTGGGGCAGAATAAACAAACGCGGCATGTACGGGAATCGAACCCGAGTCCCGAGTCATTGACCCCGGGCAATGTAGGAGGTAGTTGCCTTCGTTTCGTCGGGACGTGTTTTCTTTTCCCCCTGAATGAATACTGCCGAAAATGTGTCTTGATGGTCCATAAAAGTGGCGTTGCGTCGACAGGGAATCATGTGTTCGGCAGTATTATTTTATACGGCCAGTCTGCTGGATATGGACATGGAGAATCACCGGGGCTGGAAAAGGCAGCTAGCAAGCCCTGTCCCGACGCTGCCATTCATTCGACCGAATCCCCGACAGAAATCTTGGACGCGTTTTGAGCTCCAGAGTCGCTGAACAGGACTCGAACCGAACGTGTGACCCCACCAATGGATTCCTCGTTCGGAGAGCAATCCATTGGTGGGGTCACACGTTCGGTTCGAGTCCCATTTAGCGACTCTGCAGCTCAAAACGCGTCTAGAGCTTCGCCCGCCTCATCGGTCTTCTTGCGCGCGGTGCAGGCGAGCCGCTCTGAAAGTGTAGAGTTTTCCTTTTCCAAGTGAAGGCGACCAAATGACCGCACCCCATCCTTCTCGAGTGTTAGTCCGCGAGGCACCAGTGGCTGCCCTGATATGAAGGGGGCGCGGTGGACCACTGGAAGGCTACCGCGCTACCGCCTGCCTGGCTGGAATACCTATCACTGCTAAGAGGATTGCGAGCTCTGTGCGAGGGGGGGGGGGCATGCATGCGAACGCGACACGTGCGCGTGAGGGGCCCCCGGAGAGCGAAATTTGCATGGCAGCTGGGGGGACTCGAACCCGCGCCCTTGGCGCCCGTGGGGGGAACGGCGGCCAGTCGCCGGCCAGCTTCGCGGGGGTCCCGGAGCGGCGGCGCGTTGCGGCCGAGATTGAGGACCGCGTCAGACGCGGACAGGACTCGAACCGAGCGTGTGACCCCACCAATGGATTCCTCGTTCGGAGAGCAATCCATTGGTGGGGTCACACGTTCGGTTCGAGTCCCATTTAGCGACTCTGGAGCTCAAAACGCGTCGGTATTTCGACCGCACCGGTCTTCTGGCCCACTGTGCGCCGTCGGGCCGGTGCCGACGGAGAGGCCCTGTTTACGAGCGCGTCGTCAGCCGCAGAGTGTTCTTCGCCACGCCACGCCCCGGCATTGCTCTCGCCAAATTCCAGAACCGTTTTCCGCGCCCACATCGCATCCACATTTCCGCTAAGTCCTTTTTATGCCGGCCCGGCTTAGAAGATGTGTTTCAAACGCGAGGCGGGGAGGCGGCGCCCCCGGCGGCGGATGGGAGGGTCGTCGAGGTGTTTGGGGCGGGGCGGGGTGGGGGGGTGGGGGGTGAGCCCGCGGGGAATACGTAGGGGTGGCTGATCAACCGGAGGGGGAGGGGGGGGGCGGCTGCAGATTAGGAGGATATACGCCTCTCCCGGTGCCTACAAGAAGGCCCCACCGCCACACTGTGAATCGGCGCTAGTTAATGCAGAAGGCCAGGACTGTCGTCGTCGTCCTCCTGGTCGTCCTCCTCCTCCTGGTCGTCGTCGTCCTCCTGGTCGTCCTCCTCCTCCTGGTCGTCGTCGTCCTCCTGGTCGTCCTCCTCCTCCTCCTGGTCGTCGTCCTCGTTCTCCCCTGCTCACCGCAGTCGCTGGCGGCGCCCCGCACCGGCGCGAGCTGCGGGTGGTCGGCGCGGAGGGGCGCGTCGTCCGAGGCCCTGCGCCACACACTGTAGACGCTGGCCTCGCAGCGCAGCGACCTGGCGGCCTTGGCCACGGCCTTGGCCTCCAGCCGCAGCGTGCTGCTGCTCCACTCGTCCTGGTCCCCGCCGCCGTGGACGTGCACGGCCGGCCCCGGCCGGTGCTGCAACACAGCGGTGTTCGTGTCAAAAACAAAGAAAACCGGAGAGAAAAACAGAAACAAACGTTACCGAAGAAATGATCCTGGCGAGAAAAAAATGATAGTGCGGGAAAAATGCTGTGGGCAGCTCTCGAGCCGAATTAGTGCTCTCTGCCCACCACTCCGACTGGGTTCCGATGTAGGTTGCGACACCAACAGGAAAGGGAAAGGAAGCAGACTCGGTATTCGAACTCGTGACCTCTGGGACGCAAATCGACACCCTAACCGATGCGGCCACGACGTGACGATGGGCCACACCGTTGATTTGCCAGACGTGAAGGGCGCGATTCGGCGGGGCGTGACGCCTACGCCTACGTGAGTCGCATGCACCGCCCCGCCCCGCCCCGCCAGGTGAGGATCAACAGGTGAGGAGTCCTGAGGGCGTGGCGGCCGTTCATTAATAACTCGTAAACTGTTGCTGCAAATTCTTGTTGTTTTTCATGTCCGTGTTTTGATGTTGTTGTTGTTCGCTGGCTGCTACAATCGCGGACCTCGTTCCGAGAGCAGTCCATTGGGAGGGTCACACGTTCGGTTCGAGTCCTATTCAGCGACTCTGGAGCTCAAAACGCGTCTAGAGTTTTGTCCGCCTCCACCGGTCTTCTGGCCCACTGTGCGCGGGCCGAGGTGATGAGGCCCTCCAGCGCCGCCTCTTCTCTTTTCATTATTTTGCCGGTATCCGATTTCAGCAGGCCAGGCCAATTGCCCGGAAAATGCAAATGCAGCATAATGGGTCGGAAGAGCGCAGCGCCCGCCTGATCTGTTTGGTCAGCCTCCTCGTCCCTCCCTTCATCTCTCTCTCTCTCTCTCTCTCTCTCTCTCTCTCTCTCTCTCTCTCTCTCTCTCTCTCTCTCTCTCTCTCTCTCCCCCTCCCGTCTCCCCTACTCTTCTGGTCGTTCTTTTGGCACGCCTGATGCCGGTGAAATTGAGGATTTGCTCACAGATTGAAAGAAAATCGGAGGGGTACCATGATTCTCTCTACTGCTTTATTACTGCATACGAGCGATCGTTAAAGAGGTAGGTGGCGACCCAATGATTTTGTTTCCAATTTTCCTTTTCGGTACGGAGAACTTAAGTGTCAAATTTAATTTCCGTTTCAGGTCATTTTCGTCAGTGACACACAGTTTGACGAGAAACATCGTCACTCTCTACAAACTTAAGCAGTGGCGGATCCAGAGTTGGCCCAAGGGGGGGGGGGGGGCAAAGTAGCACTTTTTGCCTACTTACAGGGGCAAATCGGTGCTTTTTGCCTACCTTTCAGGCGGCTATCTAGGGGTCAAGGGGGGGGGGGGCAATTGTCCTTTTGCCCCCCCCCCCCCGGATCCGCGCTTGAACTTAAGAGCAAACGGTAGAAATCGTTCCGTCATCAACGAGTCACGCCGCGCTGAGTAAATTCATCGCCTTAGTTCTGGGACTCGCCGCGCGTCCGTTCTGGGAACCGGAATGTCCCAAGACGCTCACGGACAGACAGACGGACAGACAGACAAACAATGCCGACCGTGTGTTTGCTTGGTCATTCTAGGCTTGGGCAAACTTTGCCTTTCGTTTTGGCGAGAGAAGCGACGCGCGGGCGGTGTAGCAGCGCCAGCAGCAGACTGATTCCGAGAGTCGTTTTCGACGCTGTCTGTCTCTCTCGCACCTGTGGTGGACGCCCCATGAGTGCGAGAGAGACAGAGAACGACTCTCGGAATGGAGGGCGAGCACGCCGAGCAGCAGCGCGACGGTTTCCGTTTGAACGGCTCATACTCGGAGCAGAAAGTTGCCAACACAAACAAGCACGTGTCCAGCGCGACGGGCAAACATTCACACAGCGCAGACAGCGCGGAAAGACAGACTGCAGACAGAAAGACGGACGGACAGACAGACAGACAGACAGACAGACAAGACAGACGGACAGGAGTGAGGCAGCCGCACGGTCGGCCAAAAGACCGGTGGAGGCGGCCAAAATCCCAGACGCCTTTTGAGCTCCAGAGTCGCTAAATGGGACCCTAACCGAACGTGTGACCCCATCAATGGATTGCTCTCCGAACGAGGAACTCACTGGTGGCGTCACACGCTCAGTTCGAGTCCCATTTAGCGACTCTGGAGCTCAAAACGCGTCCGGAATTTTGACCGCCCCCGCCGGCCCTCTGGCCCACTGTGCGGCCAGAGTCAGGAACGATCGGCATCGAGGATAGAAAGGAAGGAAGGATGGTTCTAACAAGGCCAGGGCGTTGTCCGTTGTCCCAGGTTGAATGGCAGCGCCGCAGCCCAACACGTCACGACACTGGTGGCGGCCTGGGCCAGGCCTGGGCGTGCTGGCGGGGGCGTGGCGGGCAGCGGGCTGCTACTGGCCAGGGGGGCGGGCCAGGGGGCGGGCCAGGGGCTTGCCCTCATAACAATGTCTCCTCTTGTTACGATTCGTTATATATGTCCGCCTTTGTTATGCCGAGAGGTCCAGCCCCCTTCTCTCTCTCTCTCTCTCTCTCTCTCTCTCTCTCTCTCTCTCTCTCTCTCTCTCTCTGGTTGATCTTTTCCCTTTTTTCGCCCTGGCTCTTGTTTTACTGCCGTCGGGGAAACGCTTCGACTTTTTGTCGGATTGGGCCAGAAAGGCATCGCGATACACGCGAATGCGGACAGGGCGGTGAGAGGGGGAAAGGGGAGGGGGAGAGGGGGGGGGGAGAGGAGGGAGGGGAGGGAAGCAGCTGCCCAGCGCGGAAGTCGGCTTTATGATGCTCTTCGAGTGGTCGCGGAAGCGTATTCACGGTCCCCGAAAAATAGTGCCAGCGACAAAAATCAACTTCCACATCCACGACGCGTGAAAAACCAAAGTCGTAGGAAGGGTCGTTTTTTAACCGCGACAAAGAAGGCGCTTGCTTGCTCCTACACCTTGCGACGCGTTGCGCCTCTCTGAATGCCTCGGCCTCTGCTAATGCAGGAATGGGAAGGGTCTCCATTCACGCTGCCCGGCCAGGCGGCCTCGGCCGACCCAGGACCCTGAATCTCATTTCGGACCTTTTTAGCGCTCATCGACGCGTTGAAGGGTTAGAATGTGGGGCGCACGTCCGTCGCACCCTTCACAGTGGGTCAGAAGAACGGTCAAAATCTCGGAGTCGCTAAATGGGACTCGAACCGAACGTGTGACCCCACCGATGGATTCCTCGTTCGGAGAGCAATCCATTGGTGGGGTCACACGTTCGGTTCGAGTCCTATTTAGCGACTCTGGAGCTCACGCGTCTGGAGTTTTGGCCGCCTCCACCGGTCTTCTGGCCCCCTGTGTACACCCTTCCTGACCTCCCCCGTTCATGCTACCCGACAGCCATCGTTTTGCTTTTGCTGATTTTTGGCTTTGCTGTTTACCTCCCTGTTTACGAGAGCAGGACTCCTAAAATTGGCCGTTTCGCTTAGAGAGCGAGAGAGACAGCGCGATGGCTGGTCGGGGCACTCTCGATACAGCAGGGCCGGGCAGTGGAGGGCCGGGGGGGGGGGGGGGCCAGAATACGGAGCATACAGTTGTTTGGCTTGTCCCCTCTCGGAAGACTAAGCATAGGGATGGATGTAATAAAAACAGGAATAAAGGATGCGACTCAATCCACGAAAATTCCTCACTTCCGTCGCGCTCTGCTTCTGCCTGCCTGTCTGTCTGTCTGTCTGTCTGTCTGTCTGTCTGTCTGTCTGTCTGTCTGCCGCTTTTTCTGCCGGCCAGTCTGCTACAACGCTGAAAGCGCGGCTCTGGCCGCCCCAGCCGAGCGACTCCGAGGAGTGCTTTCGTCGCTCCGTCTCTCTCGCACCCCCGCGCGCCCTGCGGGACGCCCCACGGGTGCGAGAGAGACGGTCGCCGGCTGGCAGTGGCTGGCAGCACGTGCGCCGTCCGTGCCCATTCCCGCCGAAATTCCCCGAGTGACACGACGACAGGCAGGCCGGCTGGCCCCGGCCGCCCCGGCTAGCCGCAGGGGAGCGGAGCGCGGGGGACGATATAATGAACAGCTGGTCACTCCTTCATTAGACGCGGGACACGCGGAGAATGGCCAAGTCGGGTAGGGCAGCCCGCCGATCCTTACATCGCGGTGCACTGCCTCGACCCTTTGAACCGAGCGGACGCGTTTTGAGCTCCAGAGTCGCTAAATGGGACTCGAACCGAACGTGTGACCCCACCAATGGATTGCTCTCCGAACGACGAATCCATTGGTGGGGTCACACGTTCGGTTCGAGTCCTGTTTAGCGCTTTAGAGCTTGAAACTCGTCTGGAGTTTTGGCCGCCTCCGCCGGTCTTCTGGCCCACTGTGCGGCGCTCTAAGTACGTTCTCCTCTTTTCTTCCACTTTTCCAGTGGATCTGCGCGCAGTGCGCGGCACGGGGTCGTTGACACGCCGTGTCTCGGATTCACGTCCTGGAAATACGACTGCTGCAACCGCTGTCTCCCGTCGAAGCTCATTTCCGTCCGGAGACAGCAAACGAAAACAAAAACAAAAACAAGGCAGAAAAAAGGAACCGCTTCGCTTTAGCCGGAAATTAGCAGAAATAATCTCCCACAAGGCTCGACCTGCATTCTGTGAAGCGAAGCGCCGAGTCAAGGAAAGTCAGGGAAGGTCGTCTCGGCTTCGCAGGCTCGGCAGCACCCCGGGGCTCTATCTGATGCTTTCGTTAGTTTTCTCAGAAAACTGGCAAGCCACGGTGCGGAGGCGGCCGAGGCACGCCGGGCACAGTGGGCCGGAAGATCGGTGGAGGCGGCAAAAATCTTAGACGCGTTTTGAGCTCCAGGGTCGCTAAATGGGGCTCGAACCGAGCGTGTGACCCCACCAATGGGTTGCTCTCCGAACGAGGAATCCATTGGTGGGGCCACACGTTCGGTTCGAGTCCCATTGGGCGACTCTGGAGCTCAAAACGCGTCTGGGATTTCGACCGTTCTCACCGTGCCCTCGATCTCGGCCCTCGCCGCCGCGCCCCGGCCTGGCCTTGCGCGACACATTTTTCTAAAAGTTCCGCCGAGATCTGAGGGCCGGCCCGATAAAAGGCGGAGGGAATTCGAGACGGAGACGGAACCTGTGCGTCAAAGTCTCGCAGCCGTCGGCAGCGCGGCAGGGCAGAACGGCAGGGCAGCGCAGGGCCCGCGCGAGCCATGTTGATTTTATTCTCCAAAACAAACGAAAACAAATCTCTGAGACAGTTTCGACTCCACCTGGCGTGGCCGGCGGAAAGCGTTTCTCCGGGTCCCGCTTCCTGGCTCGCTCACTCTGTCACCAATTACCATGGCAATCAGCGCCGCCGAAGCGTCTGCACTCTGCATGCCTGACGACCCGGGGGTCGGCCAGTCGGCCCAGTGGGCAGGCAGGCAGGCAGAGCAGCCCAGGCAGGCAGGCAGGACAGAGCAGACAGACAGGCAGACCGACAGACAGACTTGAATGCCTCAAAGGAGCTGCCATTAGCATGGGGAGGTGGTTCCTTACTGACATCGTTGGCATGCCAACCCCTTTCACTAATTTTTGTGGAAAGTTGACGTGTTTTGCTGGCAGCCCCCTCCCTCCAGCCCCACGCGCGGTGCTCGTCCCCGTCGGGGTTGTCCGGCACAAGAGCACCAATAATGAGAATCTTGGGTCCACTTCTGTCCGCGCTAAGGGTGACTGGGAACCGGCCACCGCCCCCTGGGCCCCTGGGCCACCCCACCCCTCATCACAACCAGCACACACTGCAAAGACGAAAAGCAAAAACTTTCCCCCGCTGCATCAGAGAGAGAGAGAGAGAGAGAGAGAGAGAGAGAGAGAGAGAGAGAGAGAGAGAGAGAGAGAGAGAGAGAGAGAGAGAGAGAAGAAAACAGGGACAGCAATAATTCTTATGCACGGCCCTGTGTGTGGACCTTGCCTCGGGTGGGTCCAGACTCTACACCTAGAAGAAAGGTGTCTAGACTTCTTACTTTTCTTGATTATAAATAACACAATCTAAATCCCAAAATATTAAAAAAAGGCTTTTATGGTGGTTTAAGTGGTAATGTTTTAAAAGTGTCGTCTGAAAGTGCCATAGCTCCTCTCTCTCTTCTCTCTCTCTCCCTCCCTCTCTCACACACACGCTCCACATACATACGAGGCCAAGACGCGGGCAAGTTCGTATTGCTGCATGCTGCGACCGAAATAACCGACCAGAGATGTGTAACGATTCTGCATAGCAAAAGAAGGAGGATAAAGACAAGACGCTGTTGGGTTGGGGGGAGGGGGGGAAGGGGTAGAATAGGGGGTGGGGGGCAGCTGGACCCCTTGGCTTTGTCGCGTTGTCGTCGGGGAGCTCCAAGCGTGGCCCTGGAAGCTTGCAAGCCCCTTGCGGGGCCCGCGCAAGCCCGGGAGAGGGGCCCCGGCCCCCCATCGACACGCCGCTCACGTAGACGATGTTCCAAATCCACTTGACTTTTTTAAAGGTAATGTTACTTTAACAAAGAGAGACTCGGAATAAGAATGTGCGGGTTGCCTGGCTAGCTGGCCGCGACCGGGGGGAGGGGGAGGGGGAGAGTTTGTCGTGGACGTGCTGGCACTCGGCTGGAGCCTCGCCTCACGTACAGCTCCAGCCGCTCCAGCCGCTCCAGCCACGGCAGGCAGAACTTAGTCATCCCTTATTATTGGCGGCGAAGCGAGCGCCGGACGGTGCGCAGTGGGCCAGAAGACCGGTGGAGGCGGCCAAAACTCTAGACGCGTTTTGAGCTCCAGAGTCGCTGAATGGGACTCGAACCGAACGTGTGACCCCACCAATGGATTGCTCTCCGAACGAGGAATCCATTGGTGGGGTCACATGTTCGGTTCGAGTACCATTTAGCGACTCTGGAGCTCAAAACGCGTCTCGAGTATCGGCCGCCTCCACCGGTCTTCTGGCCCACTGTGCGGTGTAGGCACCGCCGGTCCAGAATAATTTCCTATAAAAATAACTCTAAAACAGATTATTTTTTCTTAATTAATTTTTTTTTGGGTACTCACCTCGACGTTGTCGATGAACCACGTGATGTTGGCGGCCGGGTACGACGGCCCCGACGAGCAGTTGGCACGCACCGCCCCGCCGGACAGCTTCTCCACCGTCAAGTCCGGCTTGCGGCTCGGGGGCTCTGTGGACGGACAAGCTGTGCTCACTTTCGGTGTACCTCTCCACAAATCGGACGCGCTTTGAGCTCCAGAGTCGCTAAATAGGACTCGAACCGAACGTGTGACCCCACCAATGGATTCCTCGTTCGGAGAGCAATCCATTGGTGGGGTCACAAGTTCGATTCGAGTCCTGTTCAGCGACTGTGGAGCTCAAAACGCGTCTGGAGTTTCGGCCGCCTCCGCCGGTCTTCTGACCCACTGTGCAATGCAATCAAAACGGGGCTGCGAGACGCACCTGTTTGCTTGAATTATTCGCGCGTCATGTGGGACTTCCCCTCCCCTTGCACCAATTGCATAAAAATGGCCCCCTCCCCCACGCCCCGTGTAATCTCACAATCAATGTTGTTTGCCCAGCAGGACGCGCCTCGCCAGTGCGACTCATGAAATTCAATTGGCAAATTCAGTCAAAGTGTAAACTAAATCAAGAGTTACATTCCCCGATAGCGACCGCTCTTTCTTTTCAAAATTGCAGTCGACTGTCGTGTCGAGGCGTCGCCGCAGTGGCGGCGGAGGTCGACGTCGAGGTCCACTTCCTTCTCGTCATCCTCCTCCCCCTCCACACAGTGGGCCAGAAGACCGGTGGAGGCGGCCAAAATTCTAGACGCGGTTTGAGCTCCAGAGTCGCTAAATAGGATTCGAACCAAACGTGTGACCCCACCAATGGATTCCTCGTTCGGAGAGCAATCCATTGGTGGGGGTCAAACGTTCGGTTCGAGTCCCATTTAGCGACTCTGGAGCTCAAAACGCGTCTAGAATTTTGGCCACCTCCCAGGCGGTCCTCTGGCGCACTGTGATGCCTCGTCCTCCTCGTCCTCCTCCTCCTCCTCCTCCCCGTCCTCCTCCTCCCCGTCCTCCTCCTCCTCCTCCCCGTCCTCCTCCTCCTCGTCCTCCTCCTCCTCGTCCTCCTCCTCGTCCTCCTCCTCCTCGTCCTCCTCCTCCTCCTCCTCCTCCTCCTCCTCCTCCTCCTCCTCCTCCTCCTCCTCCTCCTCGTCCTCCTCCTCCTCCTCCGTCCTCCTCCTCCTCCTCGTCCTCCTCCTCCTCGTCATCCCCTCGCCGAGGCCGTGACACAGTTCCTCTCGGGGAAGACCAGCGTCGCCGGCGTCGGCGGGGCATCGCTGCATCAGATAAGAAGCCGCGCGCTGCTCTCTGCGACGACTTGCTCGGATCGGATCACCGAAAGGGGGAGGGGGAGGCCGGGCTTCAAAACATCGCGCGCAAAATCGAGACTCGGGACAGCCTTGGAAAGTGAAGCCCGGCCGCGTGGCTTCAGTGGTCGCTTTCCGTAGAATGAAACCAGTCCATGCAGTCACCATATTTTTTTTCAACGTCATCGCGCTAAAAAGATGTCCTGTTTTCTTTTCTCGCGGACCTTTTACTATCCCCGCACGGCGTTAAAGTTCAATCCAACTTTGCCCAGCAGATTCTTTGTGAACACGTCAGTAAAGTGTGTTTGCGTGTGGCAGGTCTCGTCAAAAATGGACTAACCTCATTCCCGCACCACGTGTGCACCCTCTGGCGCCTGGCCTGGCCGGGAGGTTTCTATTCACCGCAAACTTGTCGTTCGTCGCGTCTTCCCTCGAGGCCACACACACACACACACACACACACACACACACACACACACGCACACACACGCACACACACACACACCTCTGCGAAATTCATTTCCGCCGTTTAAAGCATGCACGGCGAATGTCTTTTCTGGCAGGAAAATCAGGACGCGAATTGAGGGCGTCGTCACTCTGTCTCTCTCGCACTCATGGGGCGGTCCCGTGAAGGTGCGAGAGAGACAGATCGTCTTTTCCACAGCGAACGAAAAAGGAAGGACGACCGCATCCGACGGGGGATTAGCAGTGTGAGCGACGAAAGGTTTGCGAAATGATATAGGATACGTCATGGTGGGGGATATATCGCCTAGTCCCCGGGATATATTGAAACCTAATTTCGATGGCCGGGCCGAGTATGCTGTCCCTTTGTGTGGGACGAATTATGCGTTTCATTTTACCACGACAAAGGCTATGAAAGGAGGAGAGGGGGGGGGGAGACTCGAAGGATTGCTGGATTATTCTCAGCTAGGACGCTAGCATCTTTTTTTGCGGTGTCGTGACCGAGCCTAATTTCCCCGCGACTCCGAGGGAAAACCCGGGGAAAACCTAGGGAAACCCCGAGAAAACCGCCCGGAAAACCTCGAGGAAACTCGGGCCGGTGGAGTGGCAGGATTAAAGTCTGAGCAGCTCTGCAGTTTGAAAAGCGGCGCCAAACCTTCGGCGTGGGTCGGACGGGCAGTGTTGCCCCTATGAAGACTGATGCTCGACGTGTAGCTGGCCTGGCACACTAGTTTATTCATGGCTCGCGAGACGGACAGGAAGACGGACTCAAGGCTCTCTCTCTCTCTCTCTCTCTCTCTCTCTCTCTCTCTCTCTCTCTCTCTCTCTCTCTCTCTCTGCGCGCGACACGCTGCCACACTGTGGTGCCAACTGATTTTGAAAAGACCGCCCTCACAATGCGTCGTGGTTGGCAGCCCTGGACGTGAAGAGGCCAATCACAGGCCGGCATCGGGTCAGCGACAATGATACATTATTTGAAGGTATATCTATTTTGCAGCCAAGCCGCACAGTGGGCCGGAAGACCGGTGGAGGCGGCAAAAAATTCTCAACGCGTTTTGAGCTCCAGATTCACTACATGGGACTCGAACCGAACGTGTGACCCCACCAATGGATTCCTCGTTCGGAGAGCAATCCATTGGTGGGGTCACACGTTCGGTTCGAGTCCCATTTCAGCGACTGTGGAGCTCAAAACGCGTCTAGAGTTTTGGGCCGCCTCCACCGGTCTTCTGGCAAGTGGATTGGTTTGGACTGCAGGGGGTATCACCGCACTTCCGCAGCGCTGCACTCACTCGCCGAAAAGCGAAAAGTGGCCTCGAAAGAATAAAGAATAAAGATAAAATAATAGTCGGTGGAAAAAGGCGGCGCTTTGAGGGCATTAATTTCTGTCAGCGAACTTTCACTCCGGCCGTCGCTGCTTCCCCGCTTCCTCGCTTTGTGGCCTGCTGCCTTCAGCCTGCCTTCAGCCCGGCTTCAGCCTGATGAACTCTTTGGGAGGGACCTTGGCGCTCCACAGAGGCGGCCAAGAAAAAGGAAAAAAAGGAAAAAAAAAACGAGGAACCAGGAAAAAAGGGCGAACCGTCACTGCGGTCGATCCAGCCGGATTACCTCAGCCCGCCATGCAGTGCTCAAATCCAGGCTGGCTCCAGGCCGGGTCCAGGACGCACAGTGGGCCAGAAGACCGGTCGAGGTGGTCAAAATCCCGGACGCGTTTCGGACTACAGAGTCGCTAAATGGGACTCGAACCGAACGTGTGGCCCCACCAATGGACTGCTCTCCGAACGAGGAATCCATTGGTGGGGTCACACGTTCGGTTCGAGTCCCATTTAGCGACTCTGGAGCTCAAAACGCGTCCAGAGTTCAGGCCACCTCGCCGGCCTACTGGCCCACTGTAAGCCGGCTCCAGGACTGGACGGCCTACACTGCGACATGTTCCGCGGCCCGCGACCTCACGTCTCACGGCTTCCAGCGTGCCTCCAGCGCCCCGGCACTCCATCGTGCCTGACCAGCTGGACCGGAGGCCGTTCCAGGCCCTTCCAGGCCGTTCCAGGCCGTTCCAGTTCCAGGCGCGCCTCCAGCCGGGAGGAAACTTCTCCAGCGACCACATTTCCAGCCGGGCCGACCTTGGAAGTTGTCCCTTTTCACTTTGTGCGGCGACAAACGCGTTCGGGTCGGTGATGCTGCTTGCTTATTACGCGGAGTGCATCAGCCCACCGCCAGGGGAAGGGGCGGCGCACAGTGGGCCAGAAGACCGGTGGAGGCAGCCAAAGCTCTGGACGCCTTTTGAGCTCCAGAGTCGCTAAATAGGGCTCGAACCGGACGTGTGACCCCACCAATGGATTCCTCGTTCGAAGAGCAATCCATTGGTGGGGTCACACGTTCGGTTCGAGTCCCATTTAGCGACTCTGGAGCTCAAAACGCGTGTGGGCTTCGACCGCCTCCACCGGTCTTCTGGCCCACTGTGCGCACCTGCCACACAGTATGCATCCCGACGGGCAATCGCGCGGGAAAACGCGCCGAAAAGCAAAAGCAAAAAGGGGCGTCGTAAAAAGATGCGCGGGAATGCGGTGGCGTGTGGAAAAGGGGGGGGGGGGAATAATTCGAGGCGATGGCGGTGCTTGCGGCAAAACGGCACTTAGAACGCATCAAGCAGGATTGCCACGCAGCCGGCCCAGGAGCGGATCCAGGCCTTTTCAAGGAGGGGGCGATGCAGCGCCCTTTTCTCCTCCGCAGGTGAGGCCTTTGCGGTGGAAGGAGTCTCGTTCGAGCGATTCGGAGAGGACGGAGAGGTATCATGTGCCCCGAAGGCACGGAGCGGCACTGCCTCGGAGGACACTCGTCAACACACCCCTGTGCCACTTTCAGCCAAAGTTTCCCCCTCGCCTTCGAACCCAGGACCCACAGTGGGCCAGAAGACCGGTAGACGCTGTTGACTCTGTTATTGAGCTCCAGACTCGCTAAATGGTACTCGAACCGAACGTGTGACCCTACCAATGGATTGCTCTCCGAACGAGGAATCCATTGGCGGGGTCACACGTTCGGTTCGAGTCCCACTTAGCGACTCTGGAGCTCAAAACGCGTCTATGTTTCGGCCGCCTCCACCGGTGTCTTCTGACCTACCGCGCGCTGATTCAAGAGCTCTATTTTTGAAATGACTTTGTGGCGGGTACTGACCGAAGACGGTGAGGTACTCCGTCTTGATGCCGGTGTGGAAGTACGGCATGTCCGCCGACACCTCGCACTTGTAGAAGCCGCCCTGGGACCTGGTCACGTTGAGCAGGGTCACGTTGTTGGAGTCGGACCGGGCGAGCTGCAGACACAAAACGAGTTAGTTAGTTTTCCGCGTCACAGCGTCACCCCCGGACAACTTTTTTTTTTTTTTGCGCCAACGACGCCACGCGACGGACTCACGCCGCCTCGCGAGCGTATGAACCGAGCGCCTTGCAGGTCTCTCTCTCTCTCTCTCTCTCTCTCTCTCTCTCTCTCTCTCTCTCTCTCTCTCCCTCTCTCTCAGAAGTTTCCAATTACATGGCCGTCTTCGCGCCCGCAGCGCTTCATCCGATACGATTTCATCCGTCGACGTGGGTACTGGAGCAGGTAAGGAAAAAAAAGGGAAGAAGACACGGGAGTCGAACCGCAGTCCCCTCAAGTTTGAAGGCATTCAGTCACACTATTTACGTCAATGTGCAAACCCAAAGGCGCAAAAAGGTAATTTCTTTAATTGTTAAAAAATACATCAAATGGAAAAATAAAACCATATTGTTTCTAAAAAATTTCTTCTAAAATTAAAACAAGAAAGTTTTTTTTTCTTGACCCGGGTAGTCACTTTTTCAGGTGCACTGCCAAAGACATTCCGAGTCCAGAAATAAAGCACAGCAGCCGTGAACAAACGAACCAAGATTTCCACGCGGATTTCGAGCATAGAGAGGCGGATCTGGAGAGGGGGGGGGAGAGGAGATTCGTTATCCAGAGGATTACGTTATTTGTCGTCCAAAGTGCCGGTGCTGCTTCAGGCTGTAATTTCTTCCCGAGGGACCCTGTTCGGTCCGTAAGACTCAAGACTGCAGTGCGTTCCAAATTGACACGAAAAAACAACAACAATAAAAACAAAAACAAATTAAGTTTTGCTGCGAATCACGCCCCCCCTGCCTTTTGGCGCCTTCATTTTTGTTTTTGTTGTTGTTCTGTCGATGTGACTCTGCGAGGTGGCGGCCCTGATGGCGGCAAGCCCCGCCCGAGTCACTAACAACACGCAGGGTGGCCAACAATGGCCACGCAATGATGAATGGATTCTTTTCTCGTCCCTGGAAAGCGAGAGTACACTGCCAAGTGAAAGAGGGGGCGGGCCAGTGCGCTGCACAGTGGGCCAGAAGGACCGGTGGAGGCGGCCAAAACTCTTGACGGATTTTGAGCTCCAGAGTCGCTAAATGGGACTCAGACCGGATGTGTGACCCCGCCAATGGATTGCTCTTCGAGCGAGGGATCCATTGGTGGGGGTCTCACGTTCAGTTCGAAACCCATTTAGCGACTCTGGAGCTCACTTTGGAAGACAGCCGGACAGACAGCGCTGCGAAAACCTCGAGCACTACAGATTTTTGTCGGGAGTCTGTAGGTCTGTGGGCTGGCGAGCGAGAGGACACTGTCTGTGCGCGAGGGCGCGCGTGTGTGTGTGTAAGTGGCGTCCTAGAAGAAAAATGCGAAAAAATTAAGGATGTGGTATGGCAGCTCTGCTGCGGACGGGGCGGACCACGTGGAAGGTGGGAGAGAGAGCCAGAAACGAGCACAGTGAGTGAGAGAGAGGGAAGGGGGAGGGGGGGCGTGAAATATGAAGGGGTTGTAGCGTGTCGTCTGCTTTTCTTGCTTGAGTCGCCCACGACGGTCCTTTTTGCTCGGCTAAATTTAAACACTTTCCGCCTCCTAAATGGGGAAAGAAGGTGCCGCCTTAGAATTGCAATCAGAGTCGTCTCTTTTTCCTCTCTCTCTCTCTCTCTCTCTCTCTCTCTCTCTCTCTCTCTCTCTCTCTCTCTCTCCCTCTCTCTCTCTCTTCATTGGCTTTCCCCGACCTGCGCAGCGCCCCGGGTTGCGGGTTCGAAACTCGCTTTTCGAGGCTTTTCTGTTTCGCGGCAGCGCCTCGCTCCGCTGCCGAATATCGAAGAAAACTCTGCGGCGGAGGCGGAACATCGGCAATAAGAATGTGAGAAAACAACCAAATGCTTGACTCCGGCTGTCTCTCTCGCACTCAGGGCGCGTCCCGCGAGCGTGCGACAGAGACGGCGTGTCGTGCTTCCTGGCCTTGGAGTACGTCCGCGAGCAACTGCTGTGCTTTCAAATTCAACGTCAATATTATGGCATCCTTTACCGTGTCCAGAGACCATCAACTCACAGTGGGCCGGAAGACCGGTGGAAGCGGCCTAAACTCTAGACGCGTTTTGACCTCCAGAGTCGCTAAATGGAACTCGAACCGAACGTGTGACCCCACCAATGGACTGCTCTCCTAACGAGGGATCCATTGGTGGGGTCACACGTTGGTTCGAGTCCTGTTTAGCTACTCTGGAGCTCAAAACGCGTCTAGAGTTTTGGCCGCCTCCATCGGTCTTCCGGCCCACTGTGCGCCCCTAACCAACCCAATCTGCTGCGCCTTAATCAGAGGTAAAGTTTCGTAATTTTGCGCAAGTCTTTGTTGGCTGGCCGGACACTTGATGCGGGACTTACGCCGCTGCTGCGCGTCGTCCGTGGATTATCCCAGTGTCTACCAAGCACAACACTTGCAAAAAATTGCGCTTTTTCGAATTTTTTTAAAAATATTTTGTTTTAATATTTTCGTTTTGTTGACGGCTGAGACGGCCGCGTAACTTAGTCTGCCCGCCTCGCGGATACGCGGCTCTGGGCGTTCGAACGCTTGCCACGCCCGCATGGCCTCTGTGACCGGCTCAAAGCAGATCGGGCGGGCGGACGGACGGACGGACGGACGGACAGACGGGCAGGACATCAAACGGACGCACGGAAAAGGATTCAAAGGTCACGTGTGCACCTGGTTGGCACGCAATCCTAGGCTGAGGAGCGGCATGCAGGAAGTCCCCTTCGGGTTTAAAAAAAATAGTCGGAGAGAGAGAGGTAGAGAGAGGGGTAGAGAGAGAGAGAGAGAGAGAGAGAGAGAGAGAGAGAGAGAGAGAGAGAGAGGAGAGAGAGAGACGCGTGCAAACTTTCAACCGGACACTGCAGTACAGAGGGCCGCCCATCGCCCTACACAAAGAGGCTGCCTCTTTTTAATACCTTAATGCATCTTGCGTGCTTCGAGCTTCGTACTGCACACTTCGAGCTTGGGCCAAGGCACCACGGCTGGCAGGCAGCGGTGCGACCTGCACTCACACCGAGAGTCGTCGCTCTGTCTCTCTCGCACTCATGCGGCGTCCCGTGTCGGTGCGAGAGAGACGGAGCGACAAAAAGGACTCTCGGAATCCGTCTGCAGCAACGCCGCCTCTCGCCGCGATTACTCCCGAGCCGTGCACGCGAACAAGAGAGAGAGAGAGAGAGAGAGAGAGAGAGGAAGAGGAAGAGGGGCATGCTGCGTTGCATTAGAAACGGTGGAAAGGGTTGACGCGGGGGGTTCAATGCGCTCAATGCGCGCTGGGGCCGGGCAATCGTAGCAATGGACGTGTTCATCCCTCCGCCCAAAAAATTAATTACTTTAATGTTATTTAAAAAAAATTGCGATAACGTCTCGAAATTACGTGAAGAAATCGAATTGAGAAATCGAGAACAAAATGATCTTTTTATGTTACCTAAGGAATTGCAATACTACTATCTTAAAACTACGTCAGGAAATTGAATTTTAAACAAGTTAAATCTCGACGAGGCTGAATCCTGGGGGATACTAAGGCTACTTCGTGCCTAAAAAATCAAGTTGCTCTATGCGTATTGCTCTGAAAGCTCGCCCTTTTAGAGGCATCAGCACCGCGAGCCGGATTTTTGTTAAGTTGGCACTCCGCGATGCATACTCGAGTCCCCCCTCCCCCGCTCCGCAAGTTTGGCCGCAAACTCGCGTGTAAACGGCCCAGACGGCCCAGACGGCCCCAGATCTGACGTGCGCGAAGTCAATCCCCGCGAATCTGGTCCCAGAAAACATTTCGGCGCCAAAACTTGAAATGAAGTTACAACAAGAAGGACTTGTTGGCGCGCGGCGCGGTGCCGCGATCTCCCTCATCGAGAGCTTTTCCCGCCAAAGTTTCCGAATTCAGAGGCATCCCGCATTATGTGAGAGGCAGTGCGGCATATTTCGAAAAGGGAAAAAACACAAGGGGGCCCCGCCCGAGCTGGCAGCAGGCAGGCAGGCAGGCAGGCAGGCAGCCCGAAGCAGGTGAAGGTTGGTTCACATCACAGACGACTGCATAAGTTGGCCGGAACAAAGTCAAAGAGGCGTAAAATGGAAGAGGAAGGGTGGAGAGAGAGAGAGAGAGAGCGAGCGGGGACGCAGTTGGAATGAAGGGTTGGAGGAAACAGGACGAGGCGATAAGGTAGGGGCAAAAAGGGGCCAGAGGCGGGGCGTTACGAGAATGATAGAATATTGATCTAAACATGAGCAGCAGATGGTGTGTGCAGCGACCCAGTTCTGCTTCTTTCGTTCTAAGCTACTGAAAGAGTCACAAGTTTCCTCCTGAGTGCAGACCGCCTCGCGGGCCTTCGGGCCTTGCGGGTTGGGGCGGCGGCCGAAGAGAGAGACAGAGAAAGAGAGAGAGAGAGAGAGAGAGAGAGAGAGAGAGAGAGAGTGAGAGAGAGAGGGAGAGAGAGAGAGAGAGAGGGAGAGAGAGAGAGAGAGAGAGAGAGAGAGAGAGGGAGAGGAGAGAGAGAGAGAGAGAGGAGAGAGAGAGAGAGAGAGAGAGAGAGAGAGAGAGAGAGAGAGGTGACGCGAGGCGGACACGAATTCCGGGCATAGCAGCGCCACCATCAAGATATTCCGCCTATTCCAATATATATGCCATAATCCAACAGTATTTTCCATCGCCAATTTATTCCTCGGAGCTCATCCAGGTGCGAAGCGGGGCGAGGCGAGGCGCCGGGGCGCGCATAGTTCGCAGTTAAGGCAAACACAAGAGAGAGCGAGAGAGAGAGAGTGAGAGAGAGAGAGAGAGAGAGAGAGAGAGAGAGAGAGAGAGAGAGAGAGAGAGAGAGAGAGAGAGAGAGAGAGAGAGGGGGAGAGCGCATCATTACTTTGCACAGGAGGAAATAAAGTTTTTTTTAGCGTTCCACAGTTTAGTGAATTTTGAAAAGACTTAGGCCAAAGCAACGACTGCAGCGAACACTAGACCCACA